ATAAGTAGCAACACTGTAAAATTTGACTAGAAAAAACGCTAACCCTTCGACAATAAACAACGAGTATCGGCTGAGGTTACATTTCAGCTACTTTTTAGGATGCATATAAAGGGTTATAGAAACAAAGTAACAATTTGTACCCTGACTAGAACAGTACTGAATTTGTTTCAGAACGTTTTAATCAAGATAGCACAACACAGATTTATCATATATCCTCTTTTCCTAATAAATTTGAAATATATAAAATGCATCTCTCTCTTAAGGACACAAGCACATTCAAGTTACAAGAATTTAAGTTTTGCAACTGCAATCAGCTTCATTTAATTACAATGCTTTTCGCTTCTAAAAATGTATTACTGGAGAAAAATGTCACTCTCAAATGGTAGTAGACTAGAAGCAACACTATTAAACATTCAGGCAAATTATGTTTCTTTTTTTTCAGAATAAATTTTTCCTCCTTCTACTGGGCTATAATAGAAGGACATTTCATCAAATTCTGACACAGTTGCATGTGGTGCCATTGCAGTATACAATGCATAATGTTCAGCTTCTGTTAATTCAATTCCATATGGTGGTGTTTCGTCGCCTTCCAATTTAAGCGATTTAACGCTATTAGTACTTATTGCACTAGGTCTTGAAATTTGTAATTGTGGGCTAGTTGGAGTATTGTTTGTTGTCAAATATGAAACATTTCCTGTAGAACTCAAAGGCTGACTATTTTCTTTAGATACATTCGAAATTGAGTCTTTATCTTTCTTTGCTTTCTTTGCGAACAATTTTGAAAATAGTCCTTGTTTTGAATTCTTAGTTAAAGTAGCAGGTAGAGAAGGTAAAGTTTTGTTTGGTGCTTCAACGAATGACTCAGATGTCATATGAGAGGATATAGGACGAGGTAGAAGAGGCATAGAAGGCATTTTGCGGATTCGTTTCGGCGGTAAAGGCGGTAATCTCTCTTCCGTTTCCTGCGTTCCATCTCTCTTCGTAGTTACTGGAGGAGAAGGACAAGATTGATTAACATCTGCTTTTGGTATACATACGTCCTCATACTTCCTCTCGTTTGGTAAATCAATAAATTCAATGGGATTTTTCATAGCCATTTGTAAGCTGGTATAAGTTTGATTATCGCAAACGTCAATATCCATAGATTGATCCGTTGTATTCTGTTCAATGGCTGCTTGCACTAACTTTGTATGTGTATCTGCATATATTTGATCTAATTCAGCTACTTGTGTCAATAATTCATTGAAGGACTTATTGCAATCCTCTGTTGTTTCTGTTTTAAAATCTGTTTCATTATCTTTCTCCTTGAGACACATTTGACCCTTTTGCACCCATTTTCCTACTTCCGAATAGTCGAACCAATCGGAATTATTTTTGGATATATCTGCATTTTGCTTAAATACAGACGTGTTTTCAGCGGTACTATCTGATTTAGTACGAGTTAAAGTTTCCGAATTGTCATCATTCATTTCTTTGTCTATATATCTATTATCAATTTTGTACATTCTATTTATTTGTTCATTTTCTCTAGTTTGTTTCTCTTCATTTATTGGGATTTCGTTATTTTGATAATCTATAATAGTGCTTTTAATATGACTTACATTTTGTGAGATATTTTGATTCATTTCTATATTTCCATTACAAGAATCTAATGTATTTTTTACGTTATATAAATCACTTAAAGCGCGTAACGCAGAAATTTTGTTACTCGATTTTTTTACATTAAAATCATCATTATTATTATACTCATCGACATTACGCGGAAATTTAGGGGTAACGTTTGAAAATAATGCCGATTCAGTGGCTAAGATTTTACTAAATGTACTATAATCTGTTTTCTTCCTGGCAAATGCTTTCCGTAAAGACCAGAAAGCAGGCCTACCTGCACCGAGAGGTAACATCTGAAAAGGTAATGGTTCGCTCGTCGCACCATCCGATGGTCTTTTCAGTTGAATGCATATTTGCACCGGTTGCTCTACTTGCTGCATGCGATATGTGGGTGTTTTGAATGCAATTGCTGTCTGTTAACATAAATTAAATTTAAATTAAGTGAAGATGTATAATATATACAACATTCTACACAAACATTAAACATCGTACATACTTGCTTATGTACGTGAACGGGCTGAAAATCACCAAATCCTTCCCAAATCACTTGCCCCTCCTTCTCCTCGAAAAATCTAACTTGTATGTCTTCCTTTGCAACCTTCTCGCATAATAAAATCATTTCCATACCACCAGCGACCGATGCATTAGAGTGACTGAGCTTGCATATCACAAGATCTGACATTGCTTCTGAAATATTTAATTATTGAAAACAAAATTAAACAATTAATTTTCCTTTGAAACTGAATATAACGTATAATTGTAACTTAAACATACTTTTATCAAATATAGGGTCAGATACAACTGGTGGTAATGGCACATTGAATTTTCCTTTTTGTCCTCCTTCTAAGAAAACTTGAAAGCACAATCTCACTGCATTTAGATCAATACTAGTAGGTTGTCTTTTGTGTTCGAAGCCAGCTATTAGAAAATGAAACATAATTTGTTTTATGTCAAACACATTTACATAAATCTACCAGATTTCAGCTTACTTCGAAAGGGGTCTACACGAATTTCCTCTCTTATTTTAAGTGCCTCTTCGATATCCTTTTTCTTAACACATTGAATGCCAAGATTTGCAAATGTGACTGTCATATTTTCTGACGAGACTTCTACTGTACATACACCACGTTTACATGCTTCCTTTCCAACAAGATTATGAGGATGAGGTCTGTGTGGTTGATCTTTTGTTACACATGATACTACAACTACAGCTCGACCTTTATATCCAACTATCTGTAATAAGCATTATTTATTGTCATATCATACAAATTCCAAATATATTCTATATTTTGCTCTTACTACTTACTCTTATACTAGGAAATGTTTTGTTTTCTGGTGTACTGTTTACTCCTGGTATACTACCAGCCGATCTGCCTTCACATTCATAGCGAAAACGTAAAGCTTTACTTGCTGGCTGTTCTATTATTTCAACATATGGCAATAACCTCCCAGTGTCCATTTCCACTGGGAATTGATCCTCCTTTCCACTACATTCCACAAATCCAGGATCGGTAGTTTGGATGACTTCAACTGTACCAAGAATCTTAGGTATAGTTTGAAACATTTGATATGAAAATTATATAAACATATAATAAAATTTTCAACACTTACTGACATCACTTATATTTATATTTCCATCACTCATATCATGGAATTGTTCCATGCCTCTTACTGTTTAATGCATCGAACATTAGCCATCTGAAAAATAAATTCTGTTTCAACATACATTGTCATTTTGTATGAAATAGTATCTCTACATCGTATTTCATTGTTGTTAAAAGAATCTATTTAACAATTTTGTTGAAATAACAATGATTATGAAACAATAAACAAGTCATAAAAATTTTCTTTACTGCTTGACGTGTGTTTTGAACGTTTTGTCAAAGGAGGAAAAGTAACCACATGAACCAACACTTCACAGAAATTTCGCAGCATAGAGCAAAAAAAAATTTCGCGCGCGTTTCATTAAAATAAGAATAAGATGACAAGTGCCTGAAGAACGATAAATACCTAGGAGAAAATAAAACGATAGCGTAGAGGAGGAGGTGGATTGCCAGATCGATTTATTCGATGTAAAGAAAATCGAACGTTCAAAAGCGTGGATCGCGCATCTTGGCGGAAAATATATATTTATGTCGCAATGTAGGCGGTGATTGACGCAGAATATGTTACGCGTAATTTTTTATTAGTATCAGCGAGAAAAATAAGCTCAAGTTAATGATCATGGATAGAAGTTTTGTGTTAAACTTCTAGCCAGCGGAACGACAGCTGTTCACAGGTATAGTTCCAAAGGCACTGCACACAAGTGTCCCAAGTCCCAAGGGAAGAGAAACGAGAGTAGAGGGCAAGGAGGGATGCTACGCTGATCCAATCATTATTTTGGGAAGCCTAGGTTCGTACAAGCCGTGCAGCTATAATTAAACTATCGTAGGACAATGTGACGAGAAAGACTTGCCTGCAGTTTGATCAACATAGTAAAGCACTTTCGAATCTGAAAGCACGCGCACTGTTTTGAATAATTCTCTTATCAAGAAAAATTTGCGTCTCTGGGGTTTCTTTGATAAAACGCACACTGAATGCACACCGCTGCAGTAATTTGAAAACGCGATTTAATGTTTAGATCAGCGATTAAATTCCTTTACTCGAGAAGCACTGCTGCGCACACCATTTGCACGCAACATAAAAGCGTGCATGGCCGTGACTAGAAACGAGACTTAACGCGGAACAACATTTCGTTCGGACTTTGTATCAGTACTGACATGCTCGTTGCTTTCAATGGTAGGAGCAGAGCAATGTACGCTTCGTGGATACGCGCAAGTACGCGTACTCTGATGCTTCTATACTCACGGCCCACAGCTAACACTCGAAACGAGAGAACGCGTGTCGGCATGTATAATATGGCATGTAACTACGCTTCGTAGTTACTTCCTCGAAATCCATATATCGATGACGTCGAACACTTTAACACTTTATTCTTGATGTTCTGTTAATGTTCTTCACATTATGTTTCATACAGATTTCATTTCTTTTTCTCGTATTAAACTCGTAAATTGATGATTATTAACAGTTCAATCATTAGATAGAGTGTTTTTTGGTACGAACATGATAATATTGGACTGAAAATAAATTTATGTTTGTGGTTCATCGGATTTATCCTGTAGTAAATTAAAATTCAGGAACGTAGATAGGTTGCTAGTGCCTAGGTGCTTAGTGCCCAATGACTCATGCAGACACGTCACATAATTCTACTTTATCATGTGAAATTGTAGAGCGTTAGGTAATGAATTTATTTGAAGTTATATAAAATATTAGTTATTTGAGCTATTGAAAAATATAATAATTATTACGAACAAGTATCGTATCGCGTTTTACAATGTCGTTTATATTCTAAAAATCATGATTTTTCTTCGATCCTAATTGGTATCGTTTAGGATTATTTTTACAAATTATTTATTAAATCGTAGTACTATGTTAATTTAAGCTTTTACCACTTTTTGCGAATAAAGTGAGTTGTTTATAGTTTGCAATTATATTGTAAATCAGATCTATACATTACATAAGTCTTAATTGCTCCTTACATTCGTCGTCTTAGGTGTACTCGATTATGCAATCCTACGAAGTACTATATCCAAGCTATGAAATTGTGTGACAATTTATATACTGTGAAACACAAAATTAAAGAAAATTTGTTAATATATAAAATTGAAAATTATAAAAATATAAAATTGAAGAGGAAAGCATATTATTTTGGGGAGAATTGTAAGAAATACAATCTTTTACTTTATCAAAAATATTACATATATATGTATGTACACGTGTTACACATACATAGATATATGCACACATATACGCATTGCTATCGAGAGCGATGATGCTTTTCTGTCGCATTACTCTCGTTTATTACGTCTCCATGACAAGTATAAACAGCGTTGATAGTTTTTGTAGAGAGTTTATTCGTGAATGAGGAAAGTGATGCCAGAAATTGCGATCACTCCGAAAAGCTTATCTTCCCTGAGTGCTTCAACGAGTTCCAGGGAAGAGTCAAACCAATTTTTTTCTAAGAAAAGGCTGACAAAATGCATGCAACATAAATTTCTAACGTACTCGCAACTTCCTGTAAGATGTCAGAGACCCAGTCGGTACTATCGTCCTCCGAGGACATTTTTCAGATTGACTAGCTTTGCAACTATTAATCGAACAACTGCAATTAACACGACGAAAAGTTGTCCGGATAATTCAACATGCTCGATATTCCATGCTGTTGATACCTCGCACTGCAAAAAGAGTTTATCCATGATCGATTTTTCATCTTTAATAATGGAGGCTGAAAATAGCGATCTTAGGTAAAGTTTATAGAGAATTTATAACGATTTAAACGTAATCGAATAATAATTGTTTTGTACTTTAGATCAGACAGTAGATCAGACAGTAGCTTCATAGAAAAGCTTGAAGAGAATGATAAAATTAAGGACACCATTAGCAACGAAATGGGAATCAGTGTTGGTATCAGGAAGTGGATGGACGGGTTCACGACTTCAAAATCGGAGGAAGCGTGTTGTCAGTTCTTTCAAAACCCAAAGAAAGCAGCGAATTTGGTGTGTCATGTACTTATGTTAAATGCTTGGAGACGTAGACGCAGCGAAGTTCAATATCTACATGGCACAATCGACGACTTGAGCCAACAGATCGAACACCTGCATCTACAAATCGTTGTTCTGCGTCGATTGCTCGACACGGAGAATATCCGTGTCAGTAAATTGACCAGCAACGTTCATCGTGCCAAGATCCAATTTGACGAAACGTCGAAGGAAAAGAATACGTTGAAATTGGTAATCTTTATAGCATTTGTTTAAAGATAAGATGCAATAATTATGTTTTACTTAATTAATTAAAGAATAGAGGGAAAAGGAAATACATATTCTCGTATTCCTAACATAAAGCAGTAATGTCGTGCGCGGGTGAGGAATAAGAGCTATACATGCTCAACATCTTGTGGACGATGAACATGAGAGTTCAATGACGTGTATCTAACTAGAGGGATGACGCTAGCATAAGAGCTCGCGACACGAGTTTTGGCACAGGCAATAATATAGTTACCAAGACGTTGGCATTTTTGGCCTTCGATATTCAAGAATATCTTCTAAATAAGTTTAATAGCTGCACTTGTTATGCATTTCTCTGTTAACAAAATCTTTCTACTTTTTATCTTCTCGAAACCTGAGGTATATTCTTGAAAAACGATATGGCTAACTATTCTAAAGACTTTTTATAATGGTTGCATATTTATACATAAACGAGAACTTATTTTATCAGATGTAATGGCAATGTGCGTTGTAGCGAGCCATTAATTACTATATGTACACTATACAGGCAAGCGAGAAGTTGGCATCGGTCCAGCAGCTAATTGTGAAGCGAAAGAAGAAACTGTATCGCGGCGACACAAACATAGATGAAACTGGTTCTAGATACTTTCGGGGATTTACGAAGATCAACTTAGCACCGAACCTGCTTTTACGAACTAGGTTACCGTTCTTTTGCAGGAAAAAGTACAAATGGAAAACGAGATTAAGCGTTTGACCGAGCTTTGCGAGGAGAGGCTAGTCGCAGCGGAAAATGTACAAAACGAGCTACTCACCGCACAAAATCACCTTCATGCGCTCGACATGCAGATGTCGAAGGATCGAGAAAAACTGTTGAAGTTACGGGAAGATAAAAGAATACTTCTGGAAAAGGCTAGATTTCTAAACAGTTTTCTGTTATAGTCTATAGGCAAGATTTAATAATAAAGAGTAGCGTTTGCCGCGAGCTTGCATACCATACCACTGTAAAAATTGATTTCGCTCGATGACTCATTGTTACGTTCGCGGGAGAGGAGTCCGCAAAGAGGGTGAAGTCTCGGTTCAATGCGGATTTTTACTCTTTTCTATGAACGAATGAGTCATCCGTTCACCCTTTCAAACTCAGAGAACGAACATTTAAAACTGTTACAGGATTAATTATCTACAATTTTTAAGAAAGTTCGCGTATCTTGAAAACTTCTATATTTCCTACAAGAATTAAACTCTGAAAAAAATCTTTTCTTTGTTTCGTTTTCGTGAAAGTATTTTAATATGTATAGATCAAGGGCGCTAATAAGAAACTGATGTACTTGTTAGATAGGTCAACGCACGAAAGGATATATGTACTTCGTCGTTGAGTCATACCTTTTCTGCTTCATTGGTGACTCAATATCGCGTAATACTCCTTTCGTACTAAGAAAAGGGATCGATATTACTTGACCTATTAATTCCCACTCGGCTTGCGATCGAAATAAAAATTCGTGACATTGTTGTTTTATGTAAAATAGCTATGTTTCGTGTTTTATCTTGATAGTTTCATAACAGAAAATGCTTACTTACCGATTGATTTCTATAGCGTTTGTTTGTTGAATATGTGTTAGAAAAATATAATGATTCTTTTAGGTGACGGCCAGCGAAACGTTAGCAACGGAACGAGGAATGAGAGCAGACAAAGCTGAATCATGCATGGAGGATTTACAATTGAAACTCGCTACGCAGACTGCTCTGGTTGAATCTTCGCAGGAACAGATAGAACGATATTCAAAGTAAATTCAGTGGATGTGAGCCTCGTTAATTTGCACGTTATTTTAATATAAATTCTGCGTCTGTAGAGAGTTAAAAGTTAAAGAAGATGAGAAAATCAAGTTGTTAAAACGTTTAAAATCAAGCGAAGATATGGGGAGAAATTTAAGCTTGCGAACAATTTCTTTGGAAGCTCAACTAGTTGATGGAGGGGTAGCCCTGGAACACATGCAGGAAGCATACAATTCACAATTGTAAATATTTTTACTGATTGCTCATGAGCGGAAAACACTAGCTTTAAATTGATCTGTGATTATTTTAGAACGGAACTGCGTGAATTGAAAGAACGTTTAATGCGCCAATCCCAAGAAGGGGGTTGGAGTAGTAGAATGTTGCAAATAGCTGGTAGTGTTGTACGAGCGCCGAGGGTTATACTACGAACTTTATTATCGGGTCCAGTGTTAGCTTCTTAAAGATAGCTTGGTAAGTCAGTCATCAACTTACCTGCTAATTACAAGAATGTAACGATTGTTTGTTATTGAAATTTTAGTTGCTCTTGCTCACGCGTGATTGCGCCATGTTTCGAGTTTCATGTTGGAACGAAGAGTTTAAAAAGAGGAATTTCGAGAGTGATGATGATGATTGTTTGCTAAGGGAATGGAGAAAGGGAAGATTTTATGTTTGAGTTGAGGGAGAAGAGTTATGTGGTCGCGAGGAAATCAAAGGAGCAGAGAATAGCGTCAAACTGATAGTAAATTCTCGGATATTTTAATTACCAAAATTATTTTTTTTATTTATATATTTTTTTTATTCTCTATACTTTCTGATGTTACGGACTTTATATACATACGTAAGCATTTAAAATCAAAACGGGACGTAACACTTTAAAATATTTAACGATTCTATGTACAATATTGGAAACTATCCTACTAAGTTAAGGATGGACAAATAAATCTAGATATCATGTAGTTTTTTTTATCTATATTTTACACCTTTTTTTCATGTAACATGATAAAGCGATAAAAATGAAATACCGTCAGAATCGCTCGGTTTGTTATGGAAAAGTGATTTCTTGTTATGAAACATCAACAAATACATTTGATAACTGATAAACATGCATATAAATGTATGCACAGCATATAATCGTAATTCATCATATTTTACATAACATTTATATTTACCATTTTAACGTAGACGAAATAAATGTACGTAGTAGAGCGATGCTAACGGTATATTATTTTTTTCAAAAAACACATTACAATAGATCGTAAAATCTAAATAACCACGTACGAGTGACACAAATACGACGTGTCTGATCACATATCTCATTATTGCGTACATAAGTACAAGATAAAATTGATCTTCGTTTTGTTCGATAACAATATCGTTTCTGCGGTATACTTCTTTTAGGCTTCAGCCAGCACAGTATAGATCCTTTCTCATTTGAGGTTTTCGTACACGGTAAGCGAAGACACGACAAAAATTTCAGTGGAAGATTCGTTCTTGTTATCACAAAATCACTTTATATTTGAGTACGTTGTGTTAGGTGTAATTTTATGTAATCTTCTCGCTAGTCGATCTAAAACATTTTTTTTTTATTGCATATATTAATTGCGACAACAAATAACGATGTCCTACAATTTTGAGACTGGATTCGGTCGTACTCGTCGATTTACCACCTTAAAATACCTTTTAATGCGATATGAAAACGAAGAAAAGCTCAGTATGTTTATTTGCAATTGAAGACATTTCATGTAAGCTATATGCTATAGTTAACAAAATTACAGACGATATTGCATCTACAAAGAAATCTAAAGATTACTCACTGATTTTGGTTGCAAGTAGTAGGTAAGAACTTAACTTACTTCTATAAGTAATAACTTATGAAATTCATTCATCGAAACATTGTTTCCTTATTTATTTCGTGTGCTTAGTGCGATATTCGAAGTAAAAAAGAAGAGAAAAATACTGATTAGGTGAATAGTTTAATAAACCTCACAACGACCTTCTCAAGCTTTACAATGCACATGCTAACTTTGACTAATTCGGTAACTATAAAAGAATGTTTTATTGCGTATCGATTAAATTGTGGAATTAAATATATCAAATCTGATGGCTTGAGGAACGTGTACGTACCTATTTTTATGAGTAATAAAATTTACAATATTTTAAACTACAACAAATCTTGATACAATAAATTGAGCAAGATGTTCCTGTAAGATTGCTCTTTGCATCATCTCTTTATAAAAACGTTACCACAAGCCAGTAAGAATATTAATATCGTCGTTTATGTTTGGAAAATATATCTGATTGTTCTTGATAGTCACTCGATAGAACACAAAAAGAATATGTTCAAAAATCCTATCCCTTTGTTTACGTATCAAAATGTGTGGTAAATGTAATTTTTTTAATCTTGTAAAAAAAGCAGACATTTGAAAGTAAAACTATGTTAATAATACGAAAAATAAGAAGTTAAATAAATAGCACAATCATATAAGACTAGAACTTAATTGACACTTAATCAGTTTAAATCATGCCAAAACCTTCAGTACCTTCACTAATCGCTAATAATAAAGCTCGTTCAAAGTGATCGTAACATTCGTAACCCGGTAAGCAGAGCTGATTGAAGCTGTAACAATATTTAAATAATTATTACGCTTTGAAAGCTACTACCCTCAGTCAGAATACTGAGTTACGTACCAAGTATGTGCTGTAGGTAAGTTAGCAAAAGTTGGTGCTGCTGTAATTTGAAATCGTGGACTCAGTTGTTGAAATCCACCGGGTGGTAATTGCGAACAACCTGTAGTAAATTGTAATAATCGGGCCATCTCTTCCTGTGTAAAGTTGCTAACTGCAGTCCAAAACCAATCAAGAACTCGAAGAAATTCTGAAGAACTCCCATTAGCTATATGGTGCGCACGTAGATCTGCCACGCTATACTCACCAGTTCCACATAACAATAACTGTAATAAATATAGATATGATGAAAATATTGATTGAAGAATATTTAAGGATAAGAAAAAAATATATTTACATACTTCGAGTTCGTTCTCGTCAAAAATTCCCAAAAGGTTATCGGGAATGAGTTCGTTCAAACCCCTTAGAAAATGTTCCACTTCGTTCCGTATGGAACTAGCAAGTCTATGTTGGGCGAGTGCGTCCAAATAACGCAGTTTAGTTCCATTCGTTACACGAATTTTACCACCTCCAGGTATTAACTCAGCTACCTATAATAAATATATTTGGCGTAAACGATACATGTAACTATAATATAAAATACGTTATGACCTTACTTTTAATAATTGACCATCTTTATCATATTCTTCTTCGACAAAATAAAGTTCCATTTCCTCAACATCATTTTCAAGAATATATTTTATCTTGCTGAGATATAAGTCTGGATCATCTTGCTCGAAATACTATACAGAAGATAAAAGTATAAATAGATTAGTACAGTTCTATTTTGATACAACATATTAATAAGTAATTCTACCTTATAATGTACACTGAGGCCTATGATTTGTGCAAGAAATGATCTTGTGAATCTTGCACGTACTAACTGCCGATAGGAACCGCCAAGAGCGGATTCGTATAGGCATTTGCCCACGATTCGTCCTGCAAATTCGTAATGTTTTAACTTGAGATGTGAAGGCCGTTTACTGTTAGGATGAACTAGTGCCTGTTGTGATTCTCCGAAGGATGCAAATAAACCATTTCCTGAATCGAACAGTGCCGCACAAATTAATTCAAACCATTCTCTTCGGACACCACCCCAATCAACCCCTGGAACAAAATACTAAATATTACCTTTTTCCAAACGAATACAATATATTTTTCTAGATAAAACATACCTTGTTCGCCTTGGAAATTGATTTCAAAATTTCTACACCAGTCATTCACAGAAAATCCTTTGGTAGCTTTCATGGACTTAAAGGAAAAACTCATGCTAAATTTGAACAGAATACAGATAATATTAATTAATAATTGACACTTACCGATTCTAGCAATTTATCTCGTTGAACTTTCATCGAAAGCTTCTCGTGATAATGTTTTTGATGATGTTTCCGAACTTCGTGGTAAAAGAAATCTTGTTTATCAGCAAAAGTTTCACTTCCTCCAATGTTCTTCAACAGAAACAACGTGAATGTAGCGGCTATTATATCTCTATATAGAGAAATTAATTCAACGGGTGGCTGACATCCATCATCGATAGAAAAAGAATCGTAACCTTCGTATTGATTATTCGAACAATCAAAATGGAACTGAAAAATATAGTTTTAAATTATTGCACGAGTTCAATTTACAAAAAAATCGATGTTCCCGCAATTAGAAAAATTCACTTACTTTAGTCGATGGACAAAGCCTGAATGTAACAAGCCTTTTCGGGATAATCCTTAGTAAGTATTCTTTAATAGTAAGTTGCTTAGGCGAAATGAAACAGACAACTTTTTTTGGTTTTGAAAATTTCTCGCCTTGCATGCCCAACAATTTAGCGGCATAGCAAATATTGGGGTCCTTCGAAGCCACGTTATTGTGTACCATTCTAGCAACTTCACCTGCGCTAACGAATATAAATTCTATAAAAATAAAACTTCACTAACAGTATAATATTAAAAAAGTATCTTTCGTACTCTCGAGTACAATGATGTCGAAATCGCCATTGTGTAGTTGTAGTCCGCCTAAACTGACTGTTGCATGATAACAACTACCCTTTGGAAAACTGACTTTTAAGCGAATCCTTTGATTCGGAGAGTCGTATTCAAGTTGTACACTACAATCCGCAATAGCCGATTTATCTACTGAATTACCAATCTGTAATTAAAAAAATAGCAAATAAAGTCAATCGCAATAACGTAAGTATCGCTCGATTATAATGGCATCCCACTTACCTGAGTAATGTTAACTTGGTAACCTTCCGTGGGTTTATCACCGGGTCCAAATATGCACAGATTATCATATTCGTCTCGAGGTTCTATTGTCATAGAGTGTGCAACTCCCGCTGTACAAACGACTGTCGAACTTTGTCGTACAAAGATTGTCTTATTTGGATCTGGAGGACCTAAAGGATTAAGTGTGATTTTATAATTGTTTATAGTCCTACTTCTCAGAAGTACCGTTTAATACGTTTATCATGCGAACATACCGGGAAGAAAATTTTTAAGAAACGGGCTGCCATGAACGTGACACGGTCCAATAAGTACGGCTATTCGATATTGTCCAGCATGGCGAACAGTAAACTTCACAACTGCAGTATTAGCAGCTAAGGGGTCGGTACCCCCCAACTCTATAAGGGTAGCTATCCTGCGCGTACCTTCTGTGACTTCAATGATCAGATTGTCTTTGTCACAAATAGGATAAGGTTGACCGTTGCGTTGATAAAACTATAAAGTACAGTTTGAAAGAGAAATGCCATCGTTTCAACAGGAACAATAAAATAACCAAATAATAGTAATAAGAAAGTAACTTCTATCCTGTGCTGTTTGTCACTTTTTCTAAATACGCATTTAGAAAGTTCTATTAGGTACCTTTACTATAAATGTCATAGTTCCTCCTACGAGCTGTGGCTCATCCCATGCAAAGTGAACTCGGCAATTGCTCGGTAATAAATATTTTCCAGTCACATATTGTAGCAAGGAGTGCTTTGCCTCCGGTGCTAGAGCTGGTTGTGTCATAGCAGCCAAGGTCACTAACCCTGCTACTGACACAGAAACTACCAACATTCCACCTGTTAAATATAAAAGAAAGAAAGTTATGCCTCGAGCTTCTCCTCGAGCAGGTTCCTGCGTTATGCAATCGAACGAAATTTGCGGAAAATAACAAAGAAATTGTACCCCATGTCCAAGCGTCCTGATGTTGACTATTCTTCACTACGGCGCTCCATAGATCAGCCTTGAGGGTTTCTAAATCTTCCTTTGAAGTAGGCAGCGTCTGTCTGGCCTGGATCCATCGCGGTAGATCCTTGCCAAGGGCTGCCCGTGCAGCATTATCCTCCACCCAATATACATCCTCTAGGGACATCACTTCCATCTGCATTAGCCTGACGAAAGGAAAACAGATTTATTTTGACTTTTTGCTCGAGGAAAATTGCAATGCAACTAACAGTTCTGATTATTTCTGAGGGAAACCATGGAACCATTAAAGCTCCTGGTTAAAATTCTGCTCACTTCTGGTAATGGCTATGCAAGCCATGGTCTGTCAACCACTGGCGTAAAACGAGCCTTTGTTGCAGTAAACGTGCGGCGCGTTGTAATCGTTCTTCGTCTTGTGCCGGCAGTTCTGGTAACGCGTACACCTCGCCACAGCTCGCAAGGGATGAAATGCCTGTAACATTCGAAAAGCTTTTCTTTCTCCTTTGACACCGACGTTTCGCAAAAAGGGAAAAAAGGAACTCATTACATCTAATTAATTCGGAGAACACGCTATCAGACGAGAACAAAGATAGCTTTTCTAATTAGAGACTCATAGGAATTTAGCGATAGCACCCGGTATCTATCGTAGAGAAGGACAGGAAACAAAACCTGATAATTCGAGACTGGACGACGAGTCGATTCCTTCGCCTGTCCGTTCTCAGTACGTCGTTGTCAGTCGTAAAACCACCGAATTGTGTAAGCCACTTAAAATGCGCCGTACGTCGTTCTCCGTTATTCTACTGTGCATTCTCAAGTGTGGGTTTGTGCTTGCGATATGCACTGTGAGCAAGCACGAAGGAGGTGAGACAAAATCTTTCGCTATAATTAGGTTCGATTTTCGATTGTCCCGATGGTGAATCGGGGAAACAAGTAAACGGGGCACGAGTAAATTTCTATCTTCCTCGCCGATGCAATTTCTATTCGAGGAAAAGATAGAGAAACAAAAATCTCTTGATATCGATAAATTGTTAAATGTATATTTCGTTACGCAGGATCAGCCCATCGTTTGCAATGCTTTAACGTTACTCTGCAAACGATTTTGGAACAAACGACGAACGTATCCTCTCTATTGGTCTTTGACTCAAATTTCCGATACATCACAGAACGAGCTTTTATCAAATACGCCAAACATTTGCTGTTCTTGAACATCTACAATTGTCACGTATACGACATTCACGCTGATGCGTTCGACAGCCTAGCTAGTTTGAGGAAACTCAGTCTACCTAGCAATAATATCACAGAAGTGAAAGAGGCGTGGTTTAAGGATCTGGTATACTTGGAACAATTAGACCTGTCGTTCAATCGAATCGAGAAAATCGCGCCAGCAATCTTTAGCAGAATACCATTACTCAAACGATTCGATATCAGAGAGAATCGCATAACTTGCTTGGATCCTTCAGCATTTCCGGGTGGTATCGACAAAATTTATTTCCACGGAAACCCCCTGGCTCTCTCATGTCGAGGAGAGGTAAGTCGCGCCATTGAAGTAGCTCGCGTTTAACCGTTTGAGTCTCAGGAGTCTTTGAAAAAACAGGGTCGAAAAATCCACGAACAGCGCGATAGCGCTTGTCTTGTCCGATTGCGAAGAGAAACAAGCGGCGCAACAGCGCTCGTCATATTTGTTATTTTATGAAATAAATCTATATTATTATATATGCGTACTATTAGTTTATAAATATTGCAAGTTCGATAAATATTTTTGTTCAAAAAAATATTTGTTCAATAAAAATTATTGAGAAGATAACAATGAAATACAAAATACCGTCAATCGTCCATAGCGTTCAAATGTACTGGCACTTTTCAACACAAAATCTAAACAGTGCGATCGCGCTGCTTGAGACTCAAACGATTCAGAAATTTAAGAATTTCATTCGTTATTCAGCGGTTATAGACTGCAGTGTCGTGAACTGAATGTTGCGATTCGGTTTATGTATCGATTTGGAAATTACAGCTAACTCTGTGGATGCGGGACCACGGGGTGAACTACAAGACCGAACGGAGTAAGAAGGAAGAGTGGTTGGATAAGCTTCTTTGGCTCTGCGCCATGGACGATGCGAGCGTGGTCAAATCAGAAGACTCGATGAAAGAATGCGTTATCCTAAATTTATTCAATCAGCTTCGTACAGGTCTGAGTACCGCGCAATCGTATCCCTTGCCCGTGGACTGTCCTGTTGAGAGCAATTTTTTGATGGCCTGTTTAGACACGGGGGCCACTAATGGAAAAGTAATCAAGAATTTGCTCCTCTATATCCATAAAACCATGTCATATCGTTAAAGAGAAATTGCACGATTGTATAACCGATCAAGTTAAATTGTAATGTCTCGTGTTAAGAGCTTGTTTACGAATAAAAATCGATGATAGTTAAAAAATAAGAATTGTGCAACGTTAAAAAGTTTCGATGTTAACACAAAGAGGAACGTATCGGTCAACTCGAGCCTTCGTTCGTACGGAAGGAATACTAATTTCGTGGCGATTAACCAGAAAGTGCGGAATTAAAGGTGATTTTCGACGAGAGGTTTTACTTACCGGAAGATGCGCTACCGCTGGGTCGTAGCGACATGCCGATGGACGATATCTCATCGGCAAAGAAATCTTTGTCGCGTTGTCCATCTCGGCAGCCTCGATTTTTGTCCGGCATAATTCCTCCACGGTGTTCCTGGCTCGTCGACTTTTACCGACTACGAAGCATTCTTTTGTTCACCGTCGCATCGCTCGCTCGTCACGAGGTCATCTTCTCGAAACATTATTATACCAGCGTTTTATCATCATAACCTTACTCGATTTCACGATGGAAATTTTAATAATTCGCGAAAGTTGCGCGATTCGAGATCTATTTGAAAGGAGATATCTAGTCCTGTCTCTCGTGTAAAGCGCGCAATAAATCTATACCGATGCATTATGGCACGAACAATGAAACGCTCTGTCTTTTGTTTCCGATTCATCACTGGAGCGTACAATGTGATTGAATGATGAACAGTCACTAACAATTGCGCGGCATGTGACGGTTTTGTCAAGCAGAGGATTAAAATTTCGTCGAGTATACAAGCGCGTAGCTGTATTTTTACAACTAAAGTCATTGCACGTAGAAAGACAGGAATAATAGGACGTTTGTAGCAAGAGATGAACGTTGGAAACGCATCAATCGCTTTACGCGCTAACGATACGCAATTAGTTTCAATTACTAGTCGGGTGAAAGCTAACAGGGATGTTTCGTGAAAGGTAGAGAATACAAAGAGGAAAAATAACAGAATGTGGGAATATTTGCTTGCCAAGACGCGATGGAATGATAAGGGAGAGCTCACTGTGCTTTCGCGGCCTATGCTCTCCAGCGTATGGTAGTCATAAATACTTAAAAACGGGACACGATAATTCGGCTTAGCACCGCTTTCCTGTTAACTCCGACGGACCAACTTTGGGAGGATTTCGTCTCGCCAAGTTTAAGGATTAAGCTTATCCGGTCGTGTGAGGAACAAACGAAACAGCAAGGAGGAGGAAGAGCAAAACTCCGCGAGATATTTCGATGTAGAGTGTACACTTTTGTCGGTGTTGACCCAGATCTGGGCAACTCGATTCGGATAAAGAGATTGATAGCAATTTCCGGGAATTTTTCGGTGTCTCTCTGTGCTTTTAGACCAGTCGATTAACGATGCCAATTAAACGATGCCGGATCGATAGGTCAGCAGCAGTCGCAATTTAATCAACGACAACGAAACGTTACTATGAATTAAACGGTCCCGAAACCGGGTCAAGAGTCCATTCGAGGTCAAACCGGGGTTATCGTACCCGTGTTTTCCGCGCTCATCTCGTTTCTCTTGCACAATTTATCGGCCAACGTGCACCTTGGCAATTGCCACCGATAAAAAACGATACGAAAGGACGAAACGTACGACTGCAGTTCAAGGTATAATCGTTATTTGCGATTGTGAAATAAATCGGTCAAAATGGTACGCGACTATCCATTTCTTACGTCTGTTTCTTTCTTCGTTCGTTCGATGTTCGCTCTCTTCGATCTTCGAGTCTCGTCGAATCGAATCGGATCACGATCATTGTCCGGAATACAGCTGGTTGTTCGGCGTGCAACGATTGAACAGCCGATAACACCAGGCTTCGAGATCACATCGGTTATCGGAGAATGAGCAACAAAGACGCGCCAATCTCCGTGTTCGATACAAATGAAACTGTGACAGTCGTCAAGATTCGAAACGCGATGTTTTCATCGGTTCTCTCCTCATTTTCTCTTTCGAACAAAGAGAAAGAAAGAAAAAAGAAGAGAAAGAAACTTACAGACCGTTTCATCCGCAGAGTGTTATAGGACTTGGAGGGATAAGTGTTCCATTAGCGAGTCCATCAAAGCCCTGGAGCGGTAACATTTTAAAAGGTAAAAGAAGGATGTGGTACTTTGGACGTTTTTCAGATCTTTACGTCTTCCTTTTATTTTCTTCTTTTCCGTCTTTTTTCGTGGCTTGTGGTCGAGGCGGGATATACACGCGGCAGAATAAAAAGAAAAGAATGCAACGCGATACAATGAAAGAATCAACCGCGTAGCACCCGGCAAGCTCGCATCGACTCTTGACCTTTTCGAACGGATATCCTTCACTGGCATTGCTTCGTGCTAACGATCCTTTCGGTACTAAGAGGGGTGGCAGCAGGGGAGGATTGAAGTAAAAGGTGGTGGTGGTGGGCAGGGAAAACCAGGGCATATGTATGTCATATATTCTCATGATTATGCACGAGAGGGTTGCCGGTATTATGAAGGTAGGACAGATCGATTCCAACATTTGCTATTTTACACTAACCGCGGGCACGATATAGACGGTCCTCTGGAATTATAATATTTTGTTTCCATCTGCTTAATTTACGAGTTTCTCCTCCTCCTGTTTCAGCGATACGCGATACCCTGGGAATATCCGAGCACTAGGGGCACCGAACGAACTTGGTGACACAGTTTCACCACTATGGCGTGTATATAGCTTGGTTTGGTACCGCGTTAATAGAATTCCTACACTAGCGTGCTTAACAATAGCTCGATTAGATTCCGCTTGTAATCGCGGTTCTCTTTCCGTTCCCTTTTTCTCAAACGTACGGAACCTGGTCCGAGCAGTAAATTTTGTTGCAAAGAACTTTTTCGCGAACCCACAGGGATTAGCCCTGTACAGAAGTCGAATGAAACGATGCGAAAACGTGAATATTCTGCCGCGAGAACGGACGATTGTTTGCCGGATTAATTACAATCTTGTCGACTACTAGAGGCAGTCGTGCATATACTTGAACATCTTTTTTGCAATGGCACAGTTAGTACATTGTTTTCTCCTGTTAGAATAACATTTTCGTTTTCTTATTTATCTATTGCTTTCTATTGCGGGCAAAAATTAGCTACGAAGAATCGATTTTATGATGGAAAAAGTGTATGACTCGCGGGAAATCTTGAGGATTCACGGTTGAAATGGATACAGTTAGATCGAAGATGGCACACATACGAGCGTTATTTTCTTTCATCTTGAACGGATTCATTAATCTGTTTCGTTCGACTTTCCAAGCGAGATAATCGTGGATTTCATTAGCGCGTTTCCGACGTAAGATTCGTTATTTTGTAAATTAAAAGAAGTAAATAAAAATGTATAGAAAGGAGATCTTCGAGATAAAATAGAGGAAGAATTGGATGATTCGATCGGGCGGTCGCGAGCTGCGATTAAATTATTCGTGTTACGGTAAAACGTAATTGATATCTGGAATTTACTGGGCGGCGCGGCAGACGAAGATAACGTCGTTAAATTCGCGCTAGTTTATTGCACGGTTGATTTGTATTTACATAATCCTCGAAAGCGAGAAGTAATGCTCCTCTCATAGAGTTTTTCCATAAAGTATACTTTGTAATATACACTATATGCTAATAAAAATATGAATTTTTAATAAAAACGTGTAACTCTTTCCAATCTATGTATTTAAAGAAAAAGAGGAAAACATAAATACGAAAAAAATGTTTGCAGTCGATTTACGCGAGTTTTCATCGATCGTTTATACGTTTCATCAAATCTCCATCTCTAATTTTATTTCATTTGCGATACTTTGTAGTATGCAATCAAGTAGCAGCATGGTTTCTCATTGTTTAAGTCTTGTATTAGCTCCTCGGGTCGGTTTCCCGCGCTATTTCATCTACTTTTTTCTGTCTCTTCGTACACGCGTGATTATACAGCTAAAAATTTCGACAGACGTTTAAAACGTAAAACACGGCTACGTCGTTGGTTTCTCGATCCTTCGTTTCACATTACGCATTCTGTTCGTTGAATGACAATTAATTTTTAACGTGGTCGATAAAACGTGTCGGGGGTCAACTCGGTCTTCAGAATATTCTTGTCCGGAATTTTTTCCGCGTAGGAACGTTCAAAGGTTAAGGTCAAGCAAGAGAATCGATACTTTTCTCATCGGCCGACGTTCGTTCATGAAACGTAGATACTTACATACAATAACGGCATCGATTTCGCACGATCAATGTCCCTGTCTCGCTACATCGACACGCGTTTCCGCTAATCCTGCCAGCGCGTTGCCATCGATGAAACGCAGACAATTTGTCAATCGACAGGATTCTTTTGTTTTATACGAGCGTGGATTTAACTCGCGGCGAATACGAATTCTCCTATCGTATATTCGCGAAAGAATGATTTATGCTACGGACATCCGAAATTTTCATTCCGTTTCATTACTTTCGAACAATGCGGATGCGGAAAATGGTCCATGATAAATTACTCTGTGGGCAATGAGAAGAATCGCGCGCTGGGAGGTCGTTTCTCGATGTCGGATCTATCGATTCTACCGGATTCTACAATGGATGATCAACGATTTTACTGTTGAAACATTCTTTTTAATATCGCAGCTTCTTTCCCCTACCCGTATAAAGAACTGTGCCACGTACGACAAAAAGGAAGGAAACTTATAAGAAAAGTTGAGAATTCAATTTCGCTTACCGCTATTTCGTTTGAATCTGAGAAATTCAATGGAAAGTATCGACGTCGATATCGAGCCGATAAAACGCATTACCGGGTAACTTCTTCCTGGCTTTGAGGCTCGTGGGGAAACTAGCGTTCAAAGTGTCGCAATGCAGGACGTGTTTGCTATGCTCTAGGCGATCTGTGACTTTCGAAATGTCCGGGCGGAGTGTCGACGTGGTGTGCAACATGCAGGATTGCAAGTGACGTAAATGGCTTTTGTGATGGAATCGTCTTGTGATCTTTCGTGGCTTCAAGTAGCAAAATTTTTAAGTGGTTCGTAACACCTACGTGATCAGCCCAGACAGTTTCGAAATTCAAACAGAACCGAGAAAGCATGAATAGCTCCTCTCAAGACGAACCCTCGAACCGTGTTGCTTTCCTCTCGAGAAACTTTGCCAGTATCTTCCAACTTGCCGCGAAATGCAACAACCTTTGCTTTAAGAAATTTACGGTAAGGAAATTTTGCTTGAGATTTTAGTGTGTTTAATGAAGGAGAAATGATTAGTTAAATCGTGAAAGTATAGTATTAGCATCGAATAATACACACATAAACATTTAATAGTGCAAATACAAGTGCAGAATTAATGAGAAATGAGAGCTGATGTTTTTTATTGTGCGAAAATAATTGATTAAGCAACGATTCAAACACTCATACATAACATCGATGCATAGTAACAATCATGACATAAAATAAAAAGGCGATGAAACGCCGCGATTATATTCGACCGTGAAACGAATGTTATCGGAGTGATAAGGAGTGCACTTACGGATTCGAATCGACTTTCTGTCTCGTCTTTCTGGCTTGAAGACTGTTTTCCCGCCGGAGGATCGTGGCAACTTCGATCGGGAAATTCGCAACGAAAGATCGCGGTGCCAGCAGAAAGGCGGAAGCGGTATGTGCGGCTGGTTCAGCTTCGGAATACAGTTCTCGAGCGCTAAAAAAACCTACCCCTTCGCAACAGGAGTGTCGTTTTCACACTTGTTTACGATATTAATTACGAACTCGCTACTTGTTGTCTACAAGGTTGAGAAGAGTCGTGGGAGGAGGGTCAAGCGTCACGACGAAGTATGTAGTAACCTTCGAAAGATATCGAAAGGTGGCCTAGCGGAGGTCTAAGGTGTTGGTTTCATGTACGTCTCGAAGTCGGAGTACACATGGAAGCGCGAATAATAGAGGGAGGACGAAAGAAGGGTGGGGGTAAAGGAACGGCTAAGGTGGCCGGGGAGTGATAAACGCGAGGGTTTCTACGACCGACTCGACGCGTCTACTAAGGATCAAGCGGGCCTGTGTGTCAAAGGCTCGATGATCGCGCGAACATCCGAGGCTCGTTTACGATTTCACCGTTCACAATGGCTCCGTTTGTACGGTGGTTCATACGTCCGCGCCCCTTGGCAACGCGCATAATGCTCACGTCGTTTGCTTCTCGATAAAACGAATCCGCGAAAATTTGCGAAGGGGCTGCAGCGACTTTTGGTGGAGCAAGTATTTCGATACCCGACAACCAAGAGCGACGCGACTCGGCGATCCGCTCGCTCGGACTCACGCTAGACGACTGCATGCGAGACGATTACGCGGCTAGAGCCACCCTCTGCCACCCATTTGGTACTCCCACCAGGTCCCGACCACGCCACAAAGACCACGTCAAGCAAGCCGATCGTCTTCCCGTGCTTCGCGTCTTTCCGTTCTTGCAGAAGCGCGAGTCGCACGCCGACGATCTTACTCCTACTTTTCCACTGGCATCACCATACCACCCCTTGCCCAAATTATCTCCATTTTATGCGAATCACGATCATCTTTCGATCTCACGATCTCGAATGTTTCGAGGATCTTACTTTTATGAAACATGCACTGAGGGAAAATCGGAAATCGATGAAGGCGATACACGGAAGAAGTTGATTCTATTGTAAGCTTCATCGTATGGTTAGAAGTATAGGATGCAACGACCCGTTGTCTTGAAATTGGACCAATTATGCCGGCTTTATACCTTTAAAAAAAATGCTCATAAAAGCCGAATCGTTCGACTCGAGTTTGTCATTGGACCTAACACTGCATGTCCTGAATTTTTCCGATAACTGCAATCCACTTATCGACCAACCGTAAAGTAGTGCTCTTGTTTGTATTGGACTGCCTCGACAACCAGTTACATTTAACCTCGAACGATCCACGATCGATAAGGAGTCCGAATAGGGTGAAGTAATTATTGGAGGCAGCTACTTGCTGACTGAACGAAATCGTACCTCTATTCTCGACAAGCCAATCTTGCTTTCTGCCGTGTCGACGGAACTTGATATTTAGAGTTCTTTTAAAGGACCTCTCTCATCCTTTCGCGGTAGTTTAAAACGACCGAATCAGCATGTTAATTCATATAAAAGACCATATATAGCTCTTAAATTTGTGTATGTTAAATAATGCAAATTTTACATCGAATCGACGGAAAAATGTCATCGTTCTGCTTGAACCGGTTATTTGGATGGCGGTACAGTTTCGTTTAGGCTGAAGCGCTTGGCTCATCCGTGATATTTATTATTTAAATACACGGGTACTTGGCTATTAGAGTTTCGTAATACCAGTCAGTCAATGTATTAAGTCGTCCGAAAAGTTTCTTTCGTTTTATAAGGAAATAATGGACGCACAACCTTTTCTTTTTTATATTATTTTATCGAATTACGTATGATCCATTTTGTTCTATCAAAATAAAGATCACAACGTTCGACAGAATAGATTTCATGTTTGTATAAAGATGGATCGTTGTAAGAGACGTATCTGTAAAAGAAAGACACTTTTCGGACAACCTAATACTATGCTTCCGAATCAGTAGTAATGTACAGTGATGGACAAGCCGTGAAAAAGTAAAGGTAGCCATGTATACACAGACATTTACTTTCGAAAGGGGTGAGAGGAGGAACAGCATCCCCACCCTGCCGACCCAAGCGCGTAGTGATATTATCGCAGCTGCGAACTTCGTAACTATTTGTTTGTCCCACCAATAAAGAGGTACAAAAGCCTAGCCTCGAAGGAATGTTCGCGCAAGCGCTTATATCCTTGGCATCAACCTGGGCTAAGATGATAAAAGTTTGGATATTAACTTAGATTCATCAGCTTGCATCGCTACAGCTTCCGAATTTGATAAAAAGAACATGGGGAGGAACAGGTTAAGATGAAAGTTGAATTCGAATTTTACACATGCCAATGTTTCATATTGGTCGATATATATATATATATATATTCTTTTTTGTTAATAACATTTTATTTAAGAAACTTTCTCATTCCCCATAATGGACGTTTATAAATCTTTCGGTAGACTACATAGTTGGAAAAGAATATTCCTAATTAATTATTCGTTGACCGTGCGTAACATTAAAGTTTACGTTACTCTCTGAGATGGTAATGGTTCTGAACCATAACGGTTGGTAAACTAATTAATAATGTTTGCACGAGCGAAGGCTCTCTAAGTTCATATTGTCGTACGATTAGTGCACTTCGAAAGACTTTAATTTATGAGCAGTCGATAGTATATAGCTGGAGCTTATTCTTGTAAAAGAAATTGACTACATGCCAAACGATGAATTTCGACGAGAATGAACCTACTGTTTCAGGGGAACGTACACATGCGTAGTCGGAATGATCATTCTAGAGATTTGTCAAAGGAATAAACGATGATGTATTATAACTTCATCGATTATAATGTTCGACAATCTTAATTTGATTTCATTTAAACCCATAAGCATAACTTTTAATCCAAGATATTTCTTAAAATTACTTACGTTCTTCATCGTAATGATTGTTTACGAACTAAAAAATGCTTTTGTTTATGAATCATCCAATGAATGTCAGTTATCACGTAATACGTAATATGAAAGTAAGAGAGTAGTGAAACTGGAAAAGTGGTTAATCGAATCCTGACCTTTGTTTTTGAAGAGAGGCCGATACTGTTTCAATCCAATTTCGGCAAGCCATTGGTCTGCTTCGGTGAGATCCCCGTTGTTTCCATTTCCGGTGGCAAGCATCAGAAGTTTGCCAAGGGACAAAACCATAGTAAGAGCCAGGAATACCCCTGATAATACAGTTGACCATCGTGCCATTTCCTGATGAGTGCATCTTTAAACCGAACATTGATAGATTATATTGATATTCCGCGTGTACACATACATACATACGTTACAAACATATAGTTGTTAACAGGTAAAGTGTCTGGATTGAGGTTATGTCACTACGATGTTTGTAAACAAATCTATGCGGAGGAATGTACCTAGCGCTACTTTAAATTAATCGGCTTACCACATTTTCATAGAGCTGATAATCGGTATACGAGACGATTGACAAAACCGTGGCTACGTCTAAGTTTTACTGTCTATGAACTTATATAGCTGAGCAGAATGAGAATAACTGTAGATGGAGTGACAGCTGAAGTGGACAACACTATATCCTAGGGACTTCGTGCGCCGGTCTTTCTTTTAATGAACAGCCTGAAAATCAATTTTAAAGTACACTTCCTTAACGTTAGTCAATACACAAGTTGTGAAATACTGATTGTTCAAACAAAAAGAAAAACAGAAATTTCGTTGTGTTCTCACATTGATTAATGCAGGCCAGACGTGACATCATAGACGAATATATATATATATATCATTGATTAAGAACAGTACAATACTGAATCGATAACGTTGTGTGTGATACAAAAATGGTAAAGGGGACGATGATTCTCTAAACGTGGGACATAAAAAAATATTGCATATCACGTCTATACTATATCTCGTCTGTGGTCAATGATCGTGTGCATTCTGTACTTAGTCAATGGTATAGGTATCTAACTTACCCATTGTTGGACATTATGAATAGCAATACTGTGATCTTTGTTGCTTGACGCAAAAGTTGACATACACACTTACATATGTATTTTGTACGTGACATGGCATATGTATTTATTTACATATATATGTACATCTATCGGACGATTAGAACTGAAAATGATTTCCAAGTGAAATTTTTTGGCTTTTGGCAGATACGGATTACATCAAACAGAGGGAGAAACACGTTTGATGTATTTGAAAAATATATAAAGTGCGTTGTATTTCACATTCTTAACCAATAATTTCGCATGCGGTAATATTAAACACGGTTATTTGTATATTATTTAGATAAAATACGGAATTCGATGTTATAGATGTGATTAACATACTATAAACTTGTTTGACAAGTATTTCCATAGGAGTCATATATTGTTAAGCGTTCTGCGTGATTAATAGTAATGATTTAATAATCGCTTCTAGTGGAGTATTACATTCCACGCCTTGTTGGAAATTAATTAATGGCGGTGGCAGACAGAAAGCAGAGATTACCTACCTAGTGGGCGGGGATTTAAATTAGACGAAAATTATTATTAGAAATAACGTAAAATGTACTGGTAAGTTATTAAGCAATTTATCAAAATGTGACAGATAATTAAAGAAATATCGTTACGAAGGAGAAAGATCGTTACATTGTACGAAGAAGTAATTATGTAATTCAGTTTTATGTAACGATACACGTTTTTAATGCTTCTATGCGCGTCAAGCTTTCATAAAGTACTCATTTCAGTCACGATAACTATAAGATTGCACGCGTGTAGCCATTTAATCAGTATATCCGATTACGAATACCATTATATATACATTTTAGATATTAGCGAACTAGTTGATCATAGGTATATTTATCAACATCCAATCTTACGACGTGGTTTGCGAATCGCGTTAATACATTTTCAGAGCTACATAAATGTCTATTTTATGTCTATTTTTTCCATACGTGACATTTCTTGGACGCGAAGTATGAGATGCTTACATATGCACTAGAATTTTGTTGTCTTCGAGTTGACAGTTTAGTTTCACATGGAAGGTGTTAATTACATTATTCCCGCTTATCCACTTAGTCACTCCGACCAAATGGAATCTCAACAGGTTCTGAGAGGAACGTTAGGGAAAGCATTTGTCCTATAAAGGCTAATACGATAATCAGTCGGGACTTTTTTTTTATCTATAAAGAAATCAATATATGAGTAATGCGGAAGATAATGATCACTTACAACACTAATGCTCTTGTCTGCTACCAGGTAGATTATTAGATAGAAAGGTGAGAGGTCCCCATAATGATTTAGCGAATGGCCGAGCAACGACGCAGTCTCGGTGCAAGTGCGTCGTTTTACCTTGTCCAATTGCATACTTTATGAGTTGCCCTGTATGGTCATGGACATGGGACACCATACTACACCGCTATACTTTGCTTTGACAGCGGCGAAATGTTTATTTAATACATGGAAATCCCCGATTCCTCGGTTCACTAGCAACACACGACTGTTTCAGTCTCTTTGGCCCGACCTACAAATCCTTTCATTTTTTTCATGCTTTCCTCAATGCTTGTACATTCTTGACCACGCGAACATTTTTCCTTTCGAATAGAACACGTATGAAGTATATTTGCTCCTGATGTTTGTGCGCAATTACTGTCATTGCATATGGTTAGGTTTACATAGCATTTGCGTAGAACGACCTAAATAAACATTTATTCGATTTTTAAATCGTACGTTTCGAAATGCGAGACGCATGCAGCAATATAATGAACATAAAGATATTCATTTTAAATAAGATATTAAATTTTGATTTAGATGTTTTCGAAGTGAAGTATTCAAAATCGCTGAAGCTTTTACGACAAACCAAAATTTATAGTTTCACTATAATCGATTAAGTTCTAATATATCACGGTTTAACGATGCGAGGACCAAGGATATAACAATGTTATAACGTGTGTCTTGTACTAGTTCAGTGTGTATACGAGTATTCTAAAGACTATAAAATTTGACCTAAATACTTTCTAGGAGTAAAAATAAAGCGGGCAATTCAGAAGCTGACAAAAAGTATGCTTTAAATGCTTTTCAACGCATTTATATGCATACACGTTGTAAGTATATGTGAATATTCCTTGGCAATTTACAAGGTTGGATATATTGTACAACACTCAAGCTTATGATCAGCGGAATCACTGCACATTATAAACGTGTTTAATTATCATTTAACGTCTTAACGTTTTGACGTGATACGATGAGGATAATGAATGCTAATCACGACGTGGCGAGGATATTAATTAATCGTTATAACGGTGTACAGGTCGGCCGAGATAATGTTACAATAATTTACGATGCTGTGTCCAAACCGATATCACAGGAGCTGGAGCACATGATTGGAATAAAGTGGATCACCTTCGTGCGGCTGACCTAACTTGTTCCTGGCGTCAAATTATCCTGTTGTCGGATTGGTATTGAGTCCTCGGCTATAGAACTCTTTGATCTTCCGCAGCTTATCGAACCGTGTCGAAAGGAAATACGCGAGGAAATGTAGGCATTAAATCGAAACACGAATCGTTTATACAATTACAGAACAATGGGAGCAGCCTACACACACATTAATAACTTAATCTGTCGAAGTGTATACGTCATTGCGATGGATCGTATACGTGCAGCTGCTTATCAACCTATTTTCATTTTCTATTAAGCAACGCGAAGGTAACTTGCTGTTTATTCATGTACATGGATATGTACATACATTTATTCATGTGTACATGGACACTCTTTGAAAGAAAAAATCTTTAAATTGACCTCGGGCTTATTCTCGTCGTACTTTCTCCATGATCTTGGAATATTCACCGCGGGCTAAAATCGCAGAACTATAGCAATGATATTGCTCGTGCAAGTGAATAAAGTAGGTGCAAAGTTCTATAATGATATCACGACGACGAGGCAAGAAGGTCGTTGCTCGATCGTGTTTTGTCGTTTTAGGCCGCCGTGAAACACATGCAAAAACATGCGAGTCGTTACACGTAGACAGTCCACTGGCCCGGTTGATCGAAGAACTAGAGTGAGAATACATGATTCCCGTAATCGAAACTAAAGATCGTTGCGAAGGAACGCTTTATCGATACAGGAAGGTACAAATAAATTTTGCTTAGACATTTTTCGGCTAGTTGCATACTTTATGTCTGGGAACCTAAGTACAGGTACGATTGTGTTAGGCGAGGCTACCGTGTTAAACGTGCAAGTGGGTTAATGGTGAAGTCCACACGAGAGAGAAGAGACCGATATACTATATGTACATGCGTACATTTTACAGTCTGACAGATACTCTGACAGTTGATGTTGATGAACGATCCCTCCCGGCCTTCGGGCAGCTAGCATCGATGGAGAGGTTCAGCTGCAGCTGCAACTTGCACCACTGGAGAGCGAACGGCCCCGCTATACATTTCGCCTCTCTTCCCTTGGGCCACTGCCACACTTTCGTGTATAACAACCGGTGTATTTGCTTTTTAGTTCTCCTTCGAACATTAGATGTTCGAAACTGGAGCACCGAGAGTTTTCGTCGAATCTAAGAAAGTATATAAATCGAGACGAATAAAATTGTCTTACTAGACGCTATTACATGCGATGTAGGTAGAAGTTATGTTACGGTAGTATTATGTTTCGATCGTTTCACCGCTGTGAAATGCAGATAAATAATGCTTCCCAATAAGATGTAAGCGTACAGTATTTGGGAATTGTGTTCAAGTCCGGCAAACGCCCATGAGAAAGTCCACTAGCCAATTTCGCTTCTTAACTTTGAGTAATCTATTTATGTTTTTATACATGTATCGCGCGTTACCCGCGAAATCTCACTTAATTAATCACTATAGACGCGGAACACGATAGAGAACGCGAGCATAAAATGTTTCTCTCATCGTGGTGAATGCAATTCTTGTGCACCTGCACGTGAAATTAGTGGTTAGAATGTAAGTAGGAAAGGAGATTAATGTCGCTGTCGGTAACAAGAAAATTCCCCATAATCGTTCGATTAGAAAGTGCACCCGCTAAAATGTAAATGAACAACTGCATTGCCAGAATGGCGTCTTCATCGGCAAGCCGAGAATATTCTATACTTTTAATCATCTAACTTTCTCAGTCAGGTGCCACGCTAAATTTCCAGCCATTTCCTCTGATTCAGTCTTTTATTCTCGATAGGTTGATTTCGAAAAAAGAATTTGTTTTCCTACTATCTCGCGGTATAATATCTCTATAACTACTCTCCTTGTTCCAGATTCGTATCCGTGACCGAATATAAAACCATGCTTTGATACTGATGGTCTGTGGCGAATAAGGGTGAACGAGCACATCCGACGTCAGAAAGGTAGAGGGCCGTTCCTTGCAGATGAAGAAGAAGAAGTAGAAGAAGAAGACTAAGATATCTGATAGTGGAGGAGGAAGAGTTGGCCTAGAAACGGCGGTTCTCCGATCTCCGATCTGTTGGCGGATTTTCAGGCTTCTTCCCGTCGTTCCACCTCGTCCAGTTACCCCTCCTCCGTTTGACTGGCCGTCGTCGACGATGATGGTAATGGTAAATGGCCCATGGAGAGGCTCTCCAGTCCGCGCCTCCACTGGAAACGGGAGCACGCCACGTGAAAGTAGGAAGGGGAGGCTATAGCCGGAGCGACGTCGCTTCGTGCGCTTCAGTCGTTCGTGGACCTCGAAGGACGATAGAGGTCGAAGAGGGCACTTCCTCCTCTCCTTCCTCACGGCGCCACCACCATCACCTTCTCTACCATCTTTCCGCGCCTTCGGCCTTATCCTTCTTAACCGGTGGCGAGAGCACGAACGTCGTCTACGCACAATAAGATAATCGTTCGCAGCCGTCCGCCTACTAAAATTGACTTATAACGACGTCGTTGATACACGACCGTGGCAAACGTCCGAACGGATCGTCAACAGTACGAAGGATGCATCGTCACATCTCCCTTCTCGTTGGGATCATCTTGCTGTGTTGCCTCCAAGGTCGGTATCGCTTTTAACCTCTGCACTAGAATCGACCGATCGTGTTTCACTCTGGCGAAAGTCGCAACAGGTCAACCTGTCTTTACGTTCAGACATTCCTCTCTCTGTCCTCTGCTTTCCTTTTTTCTCTCTTCGTCCATGTTCGTCGTTATGTTCCCTCTCATTTTTTGTTCACCATAAAGCTGTTTCAGTGATTACGGTATTCTAGCCGAATTGATCGATAATTCGTTCCCGTCTACTGCGAGTTGTTTTAACGGTTTCACGGTTGACTAATTGAGAAATTAATGAACTCCACACGATACACGAACAGACGGGTCCATTCATTATTCCATGTAAAGCAGTCAGCCGTCCGATGGAGAGTAAAAGCATGCCCGGCGGTTCCTATTGGATGCATAATTGTGATCGATATTACGTTAAAATAGTTCGTCTAAAGAAATATTAGTATCAGGAGATCCGGTTACACGTGAATTTGAATTCTTAATTTCCGTTTTCGTTCTCCAATGTATTTCCTCTGCGTTCGACTTTTAGCTCATATCTGTCCCGACAGGTAGATAGTCGAACGTGTTGCGTTTGAATGGGAATTGATCTTATTAAATTGGGTCAGTTCAGCAGGAACGGCAAAATTCAAGCTTGCAAACAGCGTCGCGGCGCCAATGTGTTTCTTTTTAAAGAGGGGTACTCGTGTTCCTATATCGACATTTAAAGCCTATCTCTTTTTCTCTTTTTCTCGGCAAATAGCTTTGGTCAGAACACCCATTGAATTCTTGGCAGGAGGGAGCCAGTATCTCTCTATGGCCAAGTGCGATGCTCTTTCAACCGGAGGAAAAAAAGAACCATTGGTTTTTCGTTTTAATCTCCAGCACGCTCGCAGCCTCGTGCACGAGTCAACTCACAGGGCCGAGTTCCTTCCTCTTCCTTTCTCACTGATTTTATGTATACACTCCACGGTTGTCGAGCGTGTACCAGCGTTACTAAACTAGCGTAATTAATTGTAGCATTTTATATCTTGCTTTATCGACGACTAAGTCATCCACGTCTATTTAGTGATTTTAGTCTATCGAGTGATTTTTAATTAATTTACTAAATGAAATAGCAGGAGCGGGGTATCTCTGCCAAAATAATATTCCCATGGGATCTTCTGGATGGGAATATCATACATTTTTACGCGAAAAACCTTCATCGAATAGTCTCGCTTTATCTTTAATCTCTATTATGTTGTTTTTTAAGTACGAGAATGCATATTCATTGCCATTAGGAGTAGGCTAATTTTATTACGTACCTTACGGTTAGTCTGCTGCGAATACGTAAAGGGTTCTGTAGAGACCAGGTCGAGTGTTCGACCAGGCACATGTAACTCGTAAAACGACGTTAGCCGGGCGGACTCGTCTAATTAAGTATGCTAATCGTCTAAAAATCTCGCTCGTATCAGCGACCCTGAAAATTTTACGGAACGAAGCATAAGGAAAGAAGTTGTCTCTTATAGCCCTCCTTGCGGCTTAACTTGTACAAATTACGAGACTGCATCCGATTAACGATAATACCATTTACATTTGTCGCTTGTAATAATAACAATAAGAAATAGGTAGTGCGAAGAATCCAGCAACGCCAACGTTATGTAGTTTCACTAGCTCATTAACTCGTTCAGCATGGTATTCTAATAAATATCATTAAGTTTTTAACGAGATTGCGTGTTAAAAGAAATTACAGGTGGGGCAATTGATTCGAGCATTTAGACGTTTATCATTTCTTTTCCAATGTCCTGTAGAACTTCCCTTCCAAAATTTAATCACCGTTGTAATTTCATGGCTTTAATATGTAGTAGATACTGTATGATGGCCTGTAGCAGGTAAATGGAGCCCGTTGCGTGAGCAAACATACGTAAGGGAAAATGAGCCGAAGTGTAATAACAGATGTCAAAAGAATAACAGGATTTATGCCCTTTTTTGCGAAACAGAAGGCATCGCCACAGAAATGCCCTTTTTTGAGATTTTTACCCTGCCATTAAGGCATAAGAAATACGATAGTAATCTGCGGTTCTCAAAAGAAGATTTCGTGTATTTCAAGTTTCTTCTTTGTCTCTTGAAATTTCGTTTCGGATACGTTTTTCCTCCTCGAAATCTCGTTTCCTCTCGTCATTTCTTTTACGTTCAACGAGAAGAGATATTTCTCTCGATGTCAGACCGTGTCTAAGGAATCTTTCCCCCTGTGATCGAATATCGCAATAAACAATATAAATTCCTCGGTGAGTGGTCCAGGAAGGAGACGTACGAGCAAATTTGTTCGACTCGATATCCAAGGGAGGATGCATGCTTTGAAGTTGTAGTAAACGTTTTATTATTACAAATCGTGAAACGTTTAGCCGATTGGTTCGCATTGAAAATAGTTTGAAAGCGTCTGAATAGCCGCGAGACGTTTCAATAAAAGATGATCCCTTAAAAGGTTTCGGTTCATTGACTTTTCAACGTGTTCAAATCCTCGTGACCCGGTTCCTCGTTATCCGTCCCTCGGGAAACTGTCGAGCTACAGATTAAATTTTCATTCGTATATAGTTTTCGCAAATGAAATTACTTGGACACAGAAAGAAAAGGATAGTAAAAAAAAAAAAAAGTGATGTTCACTGGCTTGTATTCTGTTGGTCCATCGTTCCATCGACTATGAAACGTGTTTTCACGCTTGGAAGGGTTTCGCGTTTACCCGAAGGGAAAAAGGGCATGCCGCTTCTCCAGTCAATTTCATATTTATTAATACGAGGATTAATAACCACCTGATGATCATGAATAAGCAAAAATGAGTCGGGTATGAGAAACATTATTCGTCAAATAGTAACGGTTGCATATTCGGCTTGATCTAATTCGATCGTTTAAATCGTTGATAATTAATTCATCGCACGAATAGTGCTGAATAATTGCGATCAATTACCATGCTAGGTTTGAACGTGACTGTCAGAAAAGCGGAAAACATTGCGCGCGTGCTAATTAACGTTGTTCTGTAATTATATGTATAACGAACGATTACCGATTCAAACATCCTGTTCAGCGGTATCCAAAGGAAACTCAATTACCTTTGCACGCATGGAAATCGTTTGTAATTAAAAGAAAAAAAGATAAGAAACGAGCTCAAAGAAAAAGTGTACAAACTCTGTAAAGAAATGGATCGTCTCACGGTCGGTGATGACCACGCCTACGCTTCGTACGAAACACCAAGTTTTTATGTTACGCGTCCTTCGACTTGAACAGTAATTTCTTTCTTTGAAGATCGGCCAGCCTCTTACCGTTATTCGAAAATGCTTAGAAAATATTTGTACGGCCTGGTTCTGTGACACCAAAACTGGGCAATGGCTGCATTTCACGTCGTTAGACAGAGATCTTATGCTACACCTCCAATTTTGACCAATTTCTCTCTTCTTTCTTTCACATTGTAAATAATTCCGATAGAACACACCGTAAAATCGTCGAGCTTAAAATATCTCTGAACGAATTATCGTGATACAAGGGTAGGAACTTAAATTCACGAAAAATTCTTGTCGCGTAATAGCTTATAGTTGTAACTGTGGTTCAAAAGTCGAACAGACTGCTAAGTAAACGGTGCTGGAGAGATGCGTAAGTACGATTTTATGCTAAGTGGAAAGTCGTCCGGGCGCAGGTTGTGTACCATCGGTTGGAAGCACGCAGCGGAGATACTATCGAAACAGTTTCCTCGTCGTATGTGGACGGTATTTGCACACCGTGCAGCTCCTAAGAAACGTAAATTATTCATTAAACCCGCGAACGAAACGTAGTCACGTTCTCGTTTGTCTAGCGTCAATTTTTCGTCTTAGTGCTGGTTGAGAGTCAGTAAGGAATCTCCTTCTTTCGGTTTTCATTCAGGATGTTCTCCCCGATGCCACAGTGAAACGTGTATTAAAACACTTTCGCGGCGGCGGATCGCACCTTTCACTAGAAATTAGATTAAACGGCGCAACTACTTCCACGTATCTCTTTCAAGAGCATGTGTTTTTCTTTTTCACCTACATTGAGCACGTACGCGCTATTTCGTTCGTACAATGAGGCCCCGTGCCGCGTTTAATGGAACGTATCGGGGAATCTAGTACATCTAGCGTTTGAATTAGATTGGTACCAGCAGGCCACGCTATTCTTTTCATTCGACTTTTGTGTATCGTGCTTATCTTTCATCATCATCATGACTGCTGCGATATTTATTCAGAGCTTTCATCCGTTCTCTACTTTTTACTAATCGCGTTACAGGTAAATTAATTGAATAAGAGAAAGGTGTTGGTCTGTGCCAGGCGTATAGCGTGCCAAGATAAAAATAATGAAAGAAAGAGGTGCAGTAGATCATTGGATAAAACGAAAGCATAAATATCGTTCTACTTTAGACATGAATTAGCATTATGGCAAAGAATGCATACGTGATTTCACGACAATAGTACTTAGTCGTTCGTGATTAAACGCGATCGTTTATACCGACAATTACCGTTTACCTACTATCGTCACAGAGTTTGAGATTTCATTTGGATTTGACAGTTTGAACGTTAATTGATCGCGGAAAACGGCAAACGATACGCGAGTGGACGATGCCATTCCGCCACTGCCCGCTGTTTCGCGTTATTGCATCGTCAATCATCTTTATGAAATCGTTACGATAGATCACTATCTGCCGAACAGATTCTACTGTCGGTTCGAGCAGTTCGGTGAAAAATGGGAAGTCATCGTTTTAATCGTCGGTTCGGCGAATGAACCCTCGGATGGTTTTGCTCTTGTTCTCGAGTCTAGCTTGTTCTTCTCGTGATTAGGTTCTCGCGGGGATGTAGGAGGTCGTTAAGGATCGTACGACGATCGATCAAAGTTGAATAGAGCTTGCGAGTCAACCTTGAACGTCTCTGGAGCGCAATCTGATCCTTGATTCCGCGGTATTGTGCTCCGTTCGATCGATAAACCAAACCAGTCAGTTGTCCTTTCGGGAACGACACCGTTACCGTAGCTCGATTCATCCGCCGATGC